GGATTTATGGGATCTATAGGGCAGCCCCATATCTTTTCCCCACAGATTCTCCTGTATGGCCAGATTTATAGGATTTCTCTGGAATTGGAGCTCCCGGAGTCCGGGGTCAATCGGGATCTCGGGATGTTCATGGTGGGGCTGACGTGTTACGGGAACGGGGGGAAAACGTTGGCGACAGCAGCGAGATCGGTACGGGATTTATGGGATTTGGGGTGAATTTATGGGATTTGGGGTGGATTTATGGGATTTGGGGTGGATTTATGGGGTTTGGGGATATTTTTGGGGATATTTTTGGGGATATTTTGGGATATTTTTGGGGTGATTTTGGGGATATTTTTTTGATATTTTGGGGATATTTTTGGGGTGTTTTTTGGGATATTTTTGGGGTGATTTTGTGGATATTTCTGGGACATCTTGAGGGTATTTTTGGGATATTTTTGGGGTGAATTCCATGTTTTTTTCCAGGCCATGCTGCACTATCGTTCCCGTCTCCTCCGGGCTCTCCACACCGTGGCCTTCGCGGGGCTTTTCCTGAGCGGCTTCGCCGAGCAGAGCCAGACCCTGGAGGTGGAGCTGATGGGAAGATACAGAGAGGATCCCGTGGGTTTTTTGGGGAAAAAAATGGGATTTATGGGGGTAAAAATGGGATTTATGGAAAAAAAAAGGGATTTATTGGGATAAAAATGGGATTTATGGGGATTTATGGAGAAAAATGGGATAAAAATGGGATAAAAATGAGATTTATGGGGGTAAAAATGGGATAAAATGGGAAAAAATGGGATAAAATGGGATTTATGGGGGTAAAAATAGGATAAAAATGGGATTTATTAGGAAAAAATGGGATAAAAATGGGATAAAATGGGAAAAAATGGGATAAAATGGGATAAAAACGGAATTTATTGGGATAAAAATGGGATTTATTGGGCTAAAAATGGGATAAAATGGGATTTATGGGGATAAAAATGGGATAAAATGGGATTTATGGGGAAAAAAATGGGATAAAATGAGATTTATTGGGATAAAAATGGG